TAATTTTAATTATTGCAGTAAATTTTTGATTCGTGCTCACAAGTCTGAGTTTGATTTTAAACAGTTTATCACAATTCACGACGCAAGGTCTTTTATAATGCCAATTTAGTTCTAGAAATTCAAGTATTTTGTTTTTATAACACAAACGCCTGGATTCTTATCAATATTTTTAATTATATGAGTGTTATTAATAAGAAGTTTTTAATTAGATACATTGTTACGTGCTAAACGAGCAATTATCAAATTATATTTTTAAACATTTAATTATTAAAAACGTATAACATATATTTATTTATATAAGCAAGTGTTAGTTACGATAGTACAGCTATTCAAGAATGAGAGTAATTAATTGTTTTTATGGTTCGTGTCAACGACTACTTGATTATTCGTTAAATTAAATTAATGCTTAATTTTTCATATTTGAGTATCAGATGAATATATGGTAGATGCAGGTAGCAAGGGAATAATTCGGGTCTATATCACACGAGATGAAACACACTTCTACATGTGCTTAACACATTTTTTAAATTTTCCAACACAAATTTTTTATTACAACCAAAGAAGAAAATTAAACTATTTACTCAATTATATAGAAAATTGTAAGAATTTCACACCGATATATAAAAATCGATATAAAAAAATATTATATGGTTAAAAATTAGTAATAAGAACGGAAGTAATCAAAGTTCTAACTTTTCTAAAAAAAAATTTCTGTTAATATGTACGTTGAATGAATATCTGCCATCACAGATCATACCCGATATAACCTCAACAAATTGTTGCAGCCCAAACGATTTTTCATTATATTTCTGTATAACTTAGGTTATAAACTCTTGGCGACTTCTCAGTCTTTTCGATTAAACAAAAAGTCATTTTATAAATCTTTCTATAATCTTCAACAATTTGAAGCGAGAAGTCGGCTTTGGGAAAAGGCTCTTTTGGACTATTGACCACCTCCAGAATGAAAGCCTTTGGAATAGTCGACATTCTTCAGTGATGTGCAATATCTTTTTGCAATCTTTGATTTCAACATTCTGGACTGCTTTTATTTCTTCTTAGTTGATAACAAAGGTTGTGATATTCAAAGAGCGAGTTATACTGTCTCAATCAATACTCTATATAAATAACTATTGTTCTACCCTCCAAATCAATCTAGATATATTTTCATGTCAATATATTTCGTTCTGTGAGTAAAGTTCCAAAAATGTTTCAGATGATGGTGTATAATAATTGGTAAAACTATATTCATTATATAGAAACATTCGCTTTAAATAAACTAACCGAATAGTTAGAAATCACAATGAAATATTAAAAAGAAAATCTCTTAGCTTCGTTTTCTATTTTTTCTATATATTTATTCTTTTATAAACAAATAATTTTTAAATAATATGTTGTTACAGGGTAATTTGTTATTATTGTTAAAAATAAAAATTAAGAAAAAACAACTTTAATTATTTAATAATAATTTTTATTTGTTTTTCATATTTTGACTTTAGTATAAAGTCGTCAACAAAAAACAGTTTCCTGTTTAATAATAATTAAAAATTGATCAATTACCCTGTAAGAACACTATATTAAATACTTTTTAAAATATAAAAATTTTCCTTCAAAATAAATTATTATAAGTTGTTTTCCGTGCATACTTTAATAAGAATTTCCGATTTTAAAATCCGTAACTCCTCTCCTGTTTAAATGAAATTTGCTCTGTAATTTTACCCTAATTACAAAATTTTATTGAATGAATATACGTTATCTATAGTTAATATATCTGAAAGTTATTTACTAAGTCGCTAATTATAATTTTACCGCTTATTTTCATTACAAGATCTAAGCTCATTTACTGTACTAATTTGTGTTATTTGCTTGTTAACTTAAAGTTCAAAATATTTTGAACTTTGGATATAAAAAAACAAACAAATTATATTTAAATGCATTAAGAAACTAAAACTACTTAAAAATGTCAAAAACTATGAAGGAACATGTGATTAAAAACATTTACCTACGTCAAAAAAATTATCAGAAAGTTTGTTAATTATTGTTGCAAAACTATATTTAATTGCTGATATAATTAAAAGAATATTAAAACCCAATTCCATTGAAGGTACTTATAAATTATTTAATTTAGTTTAGACTTTTCATTTGCTAATTACACGGTTGTTTGTAATATTATCGGTAAAGCGAACTGTAATTAATAAATATTTCTATTGATGATTATCCGGAAGATATATTAAAATTGATCAACCTTATTGCACTAAGGTGAAGCTTTAAGATACTTAAGTAGCTAAAAATAATATTTTACTGTTATTAATATTTAACATTAATAAATATATAAATAATTGTAAATAATATTATATAAATAATACTATTAATTATAACATTAATAAGAGAAATTCCTATTTATTTAAGTGATCACAACCATGACTACTTTTTGACAATAACTTCAAGGAAGTATCCAAGTGAAGATATTTGCGCAACTTAAAATCATCTTAACGTTTACACTTTGTTACTTTTTCTCATAAGAGTAAGGACACTGAAATAGTAATATACTAACTTTGTGTTCCTTTGTGTTAGTCTCTAGAATTTATTCGTGTTTTTTTTTCAGTTTAACTTATAACACATAAGTTTCAACTCACATTAACATACATATTTTATTAATAAATCCAATATTTATGATCTTATATAATTATCGAAGCATTATTGAAGTGGTTTAAGAACCATTTTCGAAATTAATATATTAAATGTATATTTGGCTACTATATCTTGCTTATATTTAATTACAATATTGCAATTATTAAAGTAATAAACCTATTGAGATTTTTTTAATAATAATATACAATATATTACATAAATCTATATTATTCAATATTATTATTATAGGCTTCTTGATCATTGGGTTGTTTTTCAGCCTAAAGTGATCGCTATTAGGTAAGCTATACCTTGTCTGGAAGTGGATATATAAATATATTTAATAGATATATTTAATAGAAACATCACGCAGTCATGCTGCTTTAAAGATCTTGAGATCAGTTCAATTTACATCGAACAGTTTTTGATTGCAACACGAGAATTTGAAGTAGTTTAAGATTTCGTTACTTTATCATCAGTCGGACTGCTTCAGGTAATCACTCAGAACATTTAAATAATCAGTACATATCGTTGGTGTCATGCAAACTTTTGTTGAGTCTTGTGGTATGTTAGTTCAGAGGACTATGAAAGTACCTCACATCTGCTTTGTAACTGCCCAGCAAAAGAGTTTACTATAGCGCGATTTTACTATTTTAAGGGCTTTCTTTTTGAGGTAAAGGGTAACTTCAGCAAATCTTTCTAAAAAGCATTTCAAGGTTCAGGTGGGTTTTTAAACTTTTGAGTTTTCATTATACGATAATACAAGGACTAATAAGTCTAACTAAATTTTAAGGATCTAACCTAACCTACAACATTTGCTAGCTTTTTTTTCAGTAACATTAAGGTATTAAAGTTTTGTATACACACATTATTTAGTCATTGCTGCTTTTAGTATATACAAATCAAATTAAATATGTACTATATATTTGAAAGAGTTACATTTTTACTAGTAATAAGAAGTAATTTTTCAAATTATTTACAATTTTTTTGAATTTTCAGATATATATAAGTGTTATTATTAAAATATTTAAATCAGCAATAAATATTATTTAAATTTATACAATTATGATGATATAATTGCAGTTAATTAATGCAAGCGTCTAAATAATTTTAGCAAGTACGTGGAGCCCTGAAAAGGAGATTTTATAGCCATTTAATATAACATAATCTAATCATTAAAAACAAAAATGTGTTAAAAATATTAAATAATTTAAGTTTGCAAACATAAATTAACGAAATTTCAAATGACCGCTTATCTATTTTATGTTAAAGATAAAGTGTACAAAAATAATTCTTTTTAAACTGTAGTAAATAGATTTCCGTTTTAGAAACATTGTACAAACAAATTACGTACGAATTTTACATCCGGTATAAATAATAAACAAAACGTGTTTCACTTTAAACTTTGAAAAGATTAAATTAAGCCACTAAGTTATCAGTCACACCAACAACTAAGTCAACAAGTACTTGCGAGTAAATCAACAACACTAATACAAATAAAAACCAACCACCTTCGTGAGCCGTTGTTGTATTTTTGCGAAGCTTTGATGAATTCACTGCGAAAAGCCATTTAAAAGGGATTCATTGTTGATTTATTTACCAACTCAAATGTGTGAATATCGTGTTTGTATTGGTTACCACAAATACTCACACTTATACAAATGACGTGAGTGTAAAGCTTCTATATCAAAGCTCATATTAAGCTTAAGATGTCGCCTCGACTTCCGAAACAACAAAAAAAATTATTGAAAAATATATTGAACGCACATATTAATGTGTGTTGCCACTAGCGCTTTATTAGTGTGTTGTTGTTGGTGTTGTATGCTGCGCTCAGCTTTGTCAGTCGTTGGTGTTGTTTGTGTTGTTAGTGTTTGTTATTGTTGCTCGAAATGTTGTTTGAGTCTTTTGCAAGTTAATATTTTAGTCGTTGTTTGCTTTGTTTTTGTAAAGTAAGTCTTGAGCGCAGCGCAAAATTTTATTTTATCTTGTGAACACCGAGAAGTTTTGCATTCAGTTGAGCATAAACTATCGTATGGCGCGGTTCAATTAAATATTATATATATTAGACTAAATTTTCTTTACGGTTATTAAGAACAGAGGGTGTAAGATTATTATAAAATCAATTTTAAAAGAAGTTGGTACTTAAAACGAAAATATTTAAAAAAAAACGTTTGTTTCGATTTTAAATTGAAGAAGAAACGGTTTTTTGTGTTAGAAATTTGTGAATTTTCAGTAAAATGCTTATATAGCACTGCCTGAGAACGGTTTCAAATATAATTATTAAAAAATTATTTTAAAAAATATCAATTAAAAGGAAATTTTGTATGTTTCCTTAGTGGTTTTAAATAAATACATATATAAAAAAGTGTTTCGTATTCAAATATAACGCAACGTATTTTTATTATAATTTCACACAAAAAATAAAAACAAGTAAAACAAAATGAATAGCAATATTACTTCACGTTTTGATATGGCTGCTGAGATTGTCAATATTGCATTTGATGAATTCAAAACGCATCATATCACAAGAAATTATACTGGATTAATACAAAGATACTATCAATTGGTCGAAGAGGACTACGGAGGTATGTATGATTAAGAAACAAACACTATAATTCATTAGACTTCATTCTTTTTGAATTAGCAGAAAATTCTTTATTTATACAACAAGTAAAGATGTTGAAGGAAGTAGTTTACCTTAGAAAATACGCCATGTAAATTATGTTAAGAATGTCATAAGACCAGTTCTAGTAATTATTCTGCTTAAGAACATTTTCTTATTTGATTCGAATACAACTTTTATTGATATTATTGAATTCATTTGTTATTTATTTCCGCATTTATTCAAATGCTGTGTGAACTGAGATAATTAAACCACTTGCGTGACATTTTATGTGACATTTTATCCACTCATAAAAACTAGATTTCTTTAAAAATATATTCATTTCAATTTATAAAAATTTCCTTAAATACTGTCTCACTCAATAATATGATTTTTCTTTATTCTATAATAGACATTTTATTTGCTTTTGTTTGAAAAAAAGCCCCTTTTAAAACTGTGCAATTACTATTTCATTCATACGATTTACTAAATTTATTACTTTTGTATGGTAATTCAATTTTATTGAAAAATAAAAAATATCTAAACGTGAAATTGCATTAGTCCGACAAATAAAATACCAGTTAGGCAAATGCAGCTAAACTGATTAATTGAAATAAGTTAATATTTAATATTGACAATCAATAGTTATTTGATATGTATTAGTAAAAAAGCAAATCTATTAACTACAAATTTATATTTAGTTTATAATAGATATCACTTGTTAATGTAAACAATGACTTGTTTTTATTACACATTAATTACAAGTAATTATTAGAAGAGTTTAGTTTCATAAAAACTTAAATAATTAATGAAGAATAATTGTTCAATACCAAGTGAGAGGAACTTAAAGCATTTATTAAATGCCATGATTTGAAGATTTTAATATTATTTTTCCTCAACAAATTTTAAAAAGCGCAATTTTTATTAAGTCTACGTTTATTCTAGTAAATTAATTTTATTCAATTTTAATAATTGTTTAACTTAAATTTATATTATTGATACAGTTTCACTGCTAAAAATTCTTATTTATATTGTATATAAGCATTAGAAAGTCAGTGTATTATAAAACAATATTTAAATTACTTATATAAAATTGAATTGTAAACAAAAAAAAACTGCACCTCTTCATCTGAATTTAATTTATGAATAGACTTGTTTCAATCTTCGTAGTATTGCAAATATAGAGTAATTTTATTGAGACAATTATAATTAACTAAATCGGAGACTATATAAAACAAATTTTCCAATTTTTCTGTTATGCTCACCTTAAATCTTTCTAGCATTCATTGGAAGGCGAAAATTTCCATTGAAAAGAATTTGATCAAAAGCACATTATAGTATTAAATTGCCAACTGTAATTTCAAACACCTCAAATATTGCAGATAGGAACTAATAACATACACATATATGTATATATATATTTATTTATTTGGGTACTGAATCATAGTTAATATATAATTTTTACTAGGTTAACTTAACCTGCTCATATTATAAGTTTTGAATAAAGTTATTCAATGGAATGATCCTTTATCCTTTTATAAATAAAAGACTTATATCCAAGTGTCTCCTTGAACGATTACCCTTTGCGTCGCATGAGCTCCTACATAAGTAAATTATATATATTCTTAATGATAAATTAATTAACTCGGTGATGTGTGTCTATTTGATTGTTAGTCTTAAATATATTGTTATTATTTAACATATGCACTTCATTTGGCTATTTATTTCTTAGTTATTTCTATTTCTTCTTAGTATTCCTGTTAGCTTTTAGGCTTATATAATTATATGAAAATTAATATAAACTAAAATTATATTACTAATAAAATTAAGTAAATAAGAAGAAAAAAATTAATTTATTGTAAAAGTAATTGAAATTATTGAAGTAAATTATTGAAATTTCAATAAATCCAAAACCAAATTTTTCCTTGTTTTTCTAAATGTTGGGAAAAAATTTTGGAAATTTAACTCATCGTAGGTTAAATTTAAATAAACCATTTTCAACATAATTAATATAATAAGTCTTTCTCTATTAGAATGGAAATAGTAACATACCTAAAATTAGAATTAAGCTAGTATTATCTATTTAAATTTTGTTATAAAAAATTTGTGTTCTAGACAATTTATAAATTTTTCTATTCAAAAAAAATAAGTTCTAAAAGAAAATATAACAAAATTAATAAAAAATTTATATTTTTTAATAACTTATTTAATCATTAATGTGCATTTTTTTAAAATTCAGATATTTTTTTTGTTAGAGAGCTATAATATTGTTTCATAAGTGTTTCAATTTAAAATGCCTTAACCTTAGAAGGTGATTTCTTGATTCTTTCTTGATCTTGAAGCTAGTATTATCTATTCAAATTTTGTTATAAAAAATTTGTGTTCTAGACAATTTATAAATTTTTCTAGTCAAAAAAAATAAGTTCTAAAAGAAAATATAACAAAATTAATAAAAAATTTATATTTTTTAATAACTTATTTAATTATTAATGTGCATTTTTTTAAAATTCAGATATTATTTTTGTTAGAGAGCTATAATATTGTTTTATAAGTGTTTCAATTTAAAATGCCTTAACCTTAGAAGGTGATTTCTTGATTCAAGCAATTGTAAAGGCATACATTTTTAGTACTTACCGAGATATAATATATCAAAGAAAATTCTATCCAATAACAATAACATTAAATAAAAATTTAGTTTTCCATTTTTAATATATAATATTACTTAACTGAACTGTATTGTAAACCCATGAATTAATATATTTAAAATGACTTTATAAATCTATTCAAAAATATATCAATTTGTTGAACAGATAAACAAAAGTATCATAGATAATGAAATTTATAATTTATATTTCTCATTTCATTTTTTATTTCTACCATGTTTACATAATATTTATATAATATAACATTTTAATTATATTTTATCTCACCTTTGATAATAGCTGCCGAATAAAGTCAAAAAGTTTATGAGTAAAAACCTTTTAAAATGAAAGTTTCATATCTTGCTATTAAGAGTTAATGAACCTAGACCCAAAATACCAGTAATATACTCGAATATTAAGTACAAACTTTTGAGGTCAAAAATTTTTTTTAGTAATAAATGTTTTTTTTACAATATTTAATTATTTTATGTTTACTTTTTGTTTGAAAATTATAAGAATAACAAATATCTGCAGTTAGGAGTAATACGTTACTATCGCACATTTTTTATATAAAATTTAAATAAATATTATAAATGAAATAATTAAAAATCAATTTATATATATGAATAAGATCTTTTCTGTGTGTAAGGAACTTTCTTAAAACATTTTAAATTACCAAATAAAAATAATTACAAAAAATTAAAATTTATGAAATTAAATTTTATTTATTAAAAGATATAAAATAACATGTTATAAAATAACACAAATTATATAAAAAATACTCAATAAAAAGATATGATGAGGCATTACTCTGTGGCCATTAATTTGGGTAGACTGATCAATTTTTAAATTAGTTATTAGGTATTAATTAGTTATTAAATTTCACATAAAATAAAAAAATTGTTTAAATTTAAAGGTTTTGATTCGTTTGATAGCACTTTTTTTAATTATATTTTCAGCTCATGCATGTAGCTAAAATACATAGTTATTTTTAATAATTTATACTGAAATGAGCATATATATTTTTGTTACTGTAATAAGTGTGTCACATTATATATTTTTATTTACTTTTGTTTTAATTCATGTAAGGAATTGCTTAAGTTCATAAGAACTTAAAGAAGTAGTTTACACGCTGAAGGATACGAAGTGGTTTAAAAGGGTCTCCATAACTGTCGATATGTTTGGATTGTTAGTATTATTTATATCATTCATTGGAAATGTTTTTATTCAATATAATTAACTAATTCAAAATCAATAACTATTATTATTTACAAATTCATATTACAAATTATTTAAGTATATTCATGTAGAAATAATAAAATAAATTGAAAAATACCTACTACATGAATTTCTAAATAAAATCGTTTCACAGATTTTGTTCATATTTATCATAAATCTATGATTCAGCACTATGATATCAGAACCGCATAACTGCATTTATAGTGAGTAGTGTTTGAATGTAATTTAATTATGTGAAAAGTTACAACGTCTTGTTACTATATTTATAACTAAATTTTCTATACGGAAATCTCTATATAACTCTATCGACCTGATGTGTCATAGTATTCTCACGACTCTTTTGAGTGCTTGAAATTGGTATGACTGAAGGCGTTTAAGTGGACATATGCTTCTAGTCTAGACATCTGCTATATAAATGTACTTTTATCTTTCAAATTGGATATTAATTTCTCATTAATTTCATATTAATATCCCAATGTTTTTACTTCTCCCTGTAGTTTTGACTGTCTTCAGATAAACTATACAAATATATATTTCTATACTAATTAATGAGTTATATGACAAATTTTTGCATCCATCAACAGTTAGGAATTCTATTATTTTTTGTGAACATTTATATTACTCATTAAACTTTTAAAAAATACATCGTTTTTGCAAAGTATGATAAATATAGCGCTATAAAAGTGTACAATAAATCTTTTTTGAAATAAATTTGAACATTTTACCATCTTATTAAAGACGTTTTAGTGAACTTGGTTTACCACATGTTCTTTGAGTTCTCTCATCATACGGTCATAGAATAGGAACGAAATTTGTACAGCTTTGTGTCGACCAGGATGACTCTGGAAAAAATTCGTTTTATGCCTTGTCTAATATACCTAGTCACATTCTCTCATAAATATTTTAGAAGTGTATTAATGTATAATAGATGAGAAATTTAATAGAAAGATATTAAAATAATTTAATTAATGGATTAACTGGGTTTTGTTTTTACATAGTACTTCACCTCTATTTAGAGCAAATAATATCAGAAAAATGTTCTAATAATATTGGCATTTAAATTTTGAGAAATTACTACGATTTTATCAATACTTAATAATCA